ACCCGCGTCACTTCTGTGGTGGAGCTGAATGAGGAATACCGAGCAGTAATGGGGCAGTGTGCACATCCAATTGGTGGCGAAACAGACTGGCCATGCAGCTGCCTTCACCGATGTGCTTGGGCGAAGAGCAGGAGGTCAGCAAAGGATTTTCAGGTTCGTGGAGTGAGCAGGCATGCTAACTACGGGACATCAAAGATGGCAACGCCACAGCGGGCGAGGATGTGCGTAGCATTTTTTTCCGGTTCCAGCATGATACCCATCCCACTCGAAGTGCAAGTTTTGAGGTCAGATGAGAGTATCGTTTTCAGCAATGGCGGGCTCGCTAGACAGTTAGGTGTGTTCGTTGGTAAATAATTTTACGGTACTATAAACACAGACAATTAAAAAGAAGCTCGATTATGTCTGTCTTCATTTTGTTTAGTCTGAGTTACCGTAGAACTGTTAGTTGTGCTGATTTATTGATGAAGTTTTATTAAACAGTTCTCACGCTCATTCTTCTCTTTACTGTTTTATCCATCGGATGAATTGTTAATATTAATTCTCGGTCGGAGAATCTACGGAAGAATTTTACCATTGGGTGCAGCCAGAATTTGAGGCACCCATTGAGGAACGAGATTGTCGTCATTTACTTACGTTATCAACAAAGTTTTGTGTCGCTATACCGGTTAATTGCCAACTGTAGTGTGTTTTTATGGTTAACATAGCAAAATGAAAAATAAACTGACGTGAAATTAGCAAACGCAGGAACATTTAACTAATGGGTGGTAAGGATCATTCATCAACTGTTCCGCGAACATATTAGCGACGCTATCGGCCGTGAACAGCTCTTCTCTTTGGTAAACGTTACATCAATATCGATTGATATAATGATGGAAGCAGATATTGTTTGGCCAACAATGGTGAAGATGCTTTTGTTGTTATGATTTTTGTAGTACTCCACGTTGATGCGTTCTTCACATGTAAGAAGATTCGATGTCACCAACATCTCATCGAATAAGGATTTGTTTTGGAGCGCGGAATCATAGCTTGAGCTAGTAAGACGCTTCTCAAGAGATCGCATTAATCGAGTTGTTGCCCCATTGCACTCTACCGGTCGTGTGGTCGTGACAAAACTCTTGCAACCTGGGAGGGGCAACAACTAGATTTGCTGTGGGCCTAATGAAGATCGGTTTCTTGACTTAGAAAAAAGTCGACAAGCCGTGTATTTGTTTTCGATGATAAACATATTTTCTTATTGTCTGGGAACACTGACAGGTCCATTGTAGGTGGATTAAAGTGGAAGACAAATCGCAGTTTGTATACTAAGCACGCGTGAACTTGAAGCAAATGTTGTAGAAGTGAGCGAGGCCGTATGAAGCAAGTGAGGCTTAAAGACTCAGGTTGGCCCACTGTCCAACTCAAGTGGCCGAATTGCGTCTGACAATTCGTAGAAAATAAGAAGTACTTTAGAAGCGTTTTGAGAAGATCCAATGCAATGTCTCCGCCTTGACCCTCATCACAGAGAAGTGTTTAGAGACGTGGATGATGTGCTGAAGGCTGCCCGAATACGACTTTCCTGGATCACGAGCAGGAAGATAGCTCAAGCACAAACTCATTAATTTCTAGTGTGTTGTTTGGTGTTTGCAATGATCGTTGCGATTGTCGAACGCTTATATGTTGCATTCATCACACGAGAATTAGTGTCTAGAAGCGAAACGCAGTTTGAATTGTCTAAGTTATTACTAGATCGATTTGCCTGCTTCAATAGATAGCACTCACCACAACTAGACTTCTATCCGCATGCGTTGAGAAGGTGCAAGTGCATGTGTGTCATTTGCTCTGGCTACCACCGTCGTAACGAGCGCTCCATTGGATACTTCTACTTTCGCCGCGTTTGTGGGTGGTGCGTAATTTGGGCCAATCCATGCACCGTGTTCATGTGCCTTGAGTGAGAGTAAAACCAAATGTGGGTGAAGCGAAGGCGTGCCCTGAATCGTTGCTAGGCTACAGCAACCTGCTTAGTCGTGACTGCGGCGAGTGAGGATGACCAAGGAACCAATGACGCACGTTCCACGAAACGCCTTTTTTATCACGAACTACGTGCTGCCTGATGCACGTAGTTCATGTCATTCAGAATAATCCGGTGAAATCGATGATTTGTTACATTGGGACTTGCAGCAGCACATATACTGGAGTAGAGTTTTGCTAATAACAGACTTCTTTGTGTGTCCCGGGTAGCCTTTAAACTCCTAAGGTGGTAAGACACTCTCTTAGAGATGGTCACCAGAGTTTTGCCTCGTCTGCTATAAGTATGTTTAGTGCTTCCATTTGTCGTATTCAGTGCATCACAAGTCATGAAGGCAACACACCCTGAGCATTTATTCGTGCTTTAGTGCATGTGTGAATAAATAGGTCAGCGGGATGATATGTTTAAATAGTAAGATATGATTTGACATGTGATGCAAATTGCCACAGAAATGTTTGGAATGAATAAACAAACTTTATGCATTGCGCAGCATAATAATCTGAACCAATTGGTGGTCGTTTATGTATCACTATAAACAATTATACGCACACTTCAAGGGAAGACAATCATCTTCACACTATTTACTCTGACTAGTCATGCGACCGTTGGTTTCGCAAACGTGCATATAAACCACGTCGGAGAATTCGTGTGCATTAGTGTCCACATCTGCCCCTACATGATGCTTCATCTTCGCGTGCTCGTGCTCATTCTCCTATGCAGTGTTTTGTCATCCGGATCAACGGTTCACCTGGATCCCGAGTCGCAGAAGCTACTACAAGAATTATCGGATAACATAGAGGACACGGAAATAATGGCAGAAACGGATGATGTGCTGGAGGCTGCTCGAATTAGACAATGGTTCAGGAGAAAGTGGGATAAATTCCGCAGATCACGAGCAGGAAGATGGCTCAAGCACAAACTCATTAATTGGTTGGAAAAGAACTAATTGACTAACTGTTGTTTATCAAGTAAATTGCCTTCTGTTTGCACTCAACTCTCTGGCGTGTTGTCTGGTGTTTGCAATTACCGTTGCGATTGTCGAGCGCTTATATGTTGCATTCATCACACGAGAGTTTGTGTCTTGAAGCGAAACTCATTTTTGGACATTCGCTTAGAAGCTGATGCTTTAATTCTGGATGTCCGTGCCTTTCCCCTAATACAATGCCTGTAATGATTGTGGATTAAAATGACAAAATTTACAATGCAACTTATTCCTATAGCCCTATCTCTTAAACTGCTACTGTAAGGACATTGTAACAAGACAGGCATCACTAACTGTTATAGCATTGATGTATATTTAGGAGGGTGATTCCAGTGCAGGGCCGCTTTAGTGAGTCTCTCGCACTCCTAACCGACGTTGGCTGTACCTCAGGAACTGTGAATGGCGTGGTGATGGACCTTGGAGCAAGTTCCATGCAAATGGACTCCCCAGATCGTGGATTCGGCCTAAGCACAAATTCACCACTCGACATGCGCATGTCCTTCTGCCGCAAAGCTAGGTAAGAAACATAACATCCCTAGTCATTCCTTAGACCAAAAGCCACCAATTTACCGTCTAATCTGGAGCTCATTAAGCGTGTAAATCAACTAGGACTTTCCACACTACTCAGTCGTTAAGACGACAAGCTTTATTCAAAAATATTCAGCAGTCGGGTTTCGTATAGCGTAGTCGACTTCAGTTTGTCACCCATATTGTTTTACAATGTGCTGCTTGAGAAAGTGGCTTATTTCTGGGCTATGCAGCACATTTGGGGCGGGTGTAGACCTAGTCACTACTATCAGTATAGGCAAGGGCTTCTCTCGCGCGAAACACCAAGACCCACTTGTGTGTGTGTGTGCGGTTTGTTTGGTAGTTCCCATGTGTTGGTGTCCACAGACAGTTAGTGTTGAATGAAATGGTTGTTCG